AAAAAAAAGAAGGAGGATTGGCAATGGATGTTAGCTCAGAGCCACTCTTCCTTAGCAAAAAAAGGATTAGCAGGGATGTTAGCTAAGGGCTGATCTTCCTCACACACACACAAAAAATAAATAAACAAAGGACAAATATGGCAGATACCACCTTAGCCAAATGATCCAACTTGCCCTCTCACGACAGGAAAACCAGACCTTACACCTCCTGATGTGCTTCAGTACGAAGCACACAGCATCAACCAAGGAGCACTCCTGCCAAAAACATGCACCCGATTCTAGGCAAGCCTCCAGACCCAATTCCCACTTCACAGGAAATACAGGGGCCAGAGGGACAAGATGAATGACACCATCAGGAAATTGTCCAACACTTCTGGAAACAATTGGGACATTCCACAAAGCAACTGGACTGGTAGGGTCAATAAGTCAATGTCGTGGGAAAAAAAGAAAAAGGTATGTTGTGAGGGAGGAAGCTCAGTTCTATAGTAAGAGATTAAGGAGCCATGATAACTGAATGCAGAGCAACTCAACTAGCAGATCTTGAAAGTGGAGACAATCTTGGGGAGATCTGAAAACAGACCATTAGGATATCAGAGAATTATATTTACTTTCCTAGCTATGACAATGGTCTTGAAATGTACAAGAGAATCTCCTTATTCTCAGGAAATGCCTGCTGATTTAGGGGTAAAGTGTCCTGATGGCCATAATTTACTTTCAAAGAGTTCAACAAAAATCCCAGAATTATGTATACACACACATAAAGCAAAAGTGGCAAAATGTTAAAATTACCAAATCAAGATGTAAGATATGAGCATGTTCACTGTACTATCTTTCAACTTCTCTGTATGTTTGAAATTATGTTTGAATAACTAAAAAAAATGGGGGAGAGGGAGACTGAATAAATTCAATGGCAGGGCAATTAAAAGAAACCAATTCGGGGCCGGCCCAGTGGCGCAAGCGGTCAAGTGTGCGCGCTCTGCTGCGACAGCCCGGCGTTCGCCGGTTCGGATCCCAGGCGCGCACCGACGCACTGCTTGGCAAGCCATGCTGTGGCAGCATCCCATATAAAAATGGAGGAAGAAAGGCACAGAGGTTAGCCCAGGGCCAGTCTTCCTCAGCAAAAAAAGAGGTGGATTGGCAAATTTTAGCACAGGGCTGATCTTCCTCAAAAAAAAAAAAAAAAAAAAAAAAGTTGGGGCAGTGCTGGAGAGAAGGGAAGGGAGAGTCATAAGTGGGGATTAGGGCTCCCTGGCATCAGGGTGGGGTGAGGAGGAGGCTAAAGATGGTCCAGGAGGGAGAGGATGGGGCCAGAACTAGGCAGAAGCTGTGGGGTGGGAGGAGGGGGAAGGACACCCTCAGTGACCTCATGGCTGACTAGATGTGAGCAGCAGGGGGGAAGAGGTCCCCACGAGCCCGAGGTCTGCCCCTTGTCCAGACCAGCCCTCCTCCGCTCTCTAGTTTACTTGCTCTATGTATTCATCTTATGAAGAAGGTGATAACCTGATGGTGTTGAGCAGGGAGGGCCAGGCTTTGTTCTAGACAGTATACAGATGCCCCTGGGGCTGGCCTAAGACTGGAGAGCCCAGATGCCACAGGAAGTCCTTGAACTCCCTCTGGGACATGTTTGAAACTCCTCTCCCTTTTTCTTCACTAGTGGAGTCCAGTGGAAGACATGTCACTTGCTCTTCCCCAGGCCCCCTTCCACTTCTGGGGCCTCCTGCCCTCGCCTACTGTTGGCACCATGTGGACAAGATACCATTTCCCTCTGCCCACAGCCCCATGTTTTCAAAGCACACAGAAAAGCCAGGCTCTCTGCGCCAACCTTACCAGGGTTGTCGCTTCCCAGCATCCCTAAACAGTGGGCCGGGTAAGTGCTCTGTTTAAGACAGAAATGAAGGCTTGGGAATCTGCTAAGGTTTGCGGACAGCTCCTCTGCCGCCGTCCATGCCCACTAAGGCTAAGTTTTGGCCTTAGTGACCCCTCATCATCCTGTGTCCCCCAGAAGGAGCAGATATAGGGCTATGAGAGAGACAGCCCTTTGTTCAAGTCCTGACTCTGCCACTTGCTCTGTGGCCTTGACCTCTCTGGTCCCCAGCTCTCTCACTGACCACCTGCAGATGACAGTGCCTCCTCCCTAGACAAAAGCAGATGATCTGTGCTGGGTCCATGGGGCAGGCTCCTCCCGGGCCCCTGCAGTGGACACACCACACGTGTAGAGGAGAGCTGAGGCGCAGGAAGGTTGGGCACCTGAGCCAGGGCTGGAACTCAGGCCTCCGACAGCCCAGCCTGGGTTCATTCTACCCTGTTCCCCTGCCTAAGCAGCCCACTCCTGTCCCAGGACAGCCCCCCAGGCACCTCCCTCACCTCTGGAAACAGGTGGCCAGACAGGAAGCAGGTTTTCATGCCAATAATTTATTGAACGGAGGTCTGTACACAGGCAAACCTTACTGTGGAAACTAAGACATCAGGAGCTCCCCCACTCCCCCGGCCCTCCAGGGTGGGGAGAGGAGGGAGGAGACCTTAGGGGCAGAGGACAGGAAGGGGGACACAGCTGTAGGAGGGGGTGGGGCCAGGTTGGACGGTGCGAATCGACGTTTTCTTTAAGAAAAAAATTATAACAATCTATTTACACCCGGGGGCCAGGAAAAGGAAGAGGAGGAGATGGGGTGGTCTGGTTCTATTTACAAGGGACACAGGATAGGACGGGGGTTGGAGGAGGTGGAGGCCTGGGGGGAGGGGAGGGGGCCAAGAGGGTAGGAGGTCCCCATGCCCCCAACCCCTGTCCTTCCTTCTCTTCCCTCCCCACAACCAGTTAAAATCCTCTTAAAAAGCCCACCACATGGGTGAGGCTGGTGAGGGAGGGACTGGAGGTGGGGACAGGGACTCATTTACCTCTGCCCTCTAGTCTCTGGGCCCAGCCAGGGCAGGAGCTTGATGGGCTATGGCCCCCCTTCCCAGCCCCACTTGGGGCTCCCAGATGGAAGGGCAGTTGGCGGGGCCCTCAGGAAGAGTTAGTGAGGGGAGCTGTGGCATCGGTCGACGGCCAGTCCGAGCCGGTCTGAGCCTCACTTAAAGCTGAGGGGAAGGAAGGAGCAAATTAGCCTTTGCCTTTTAGACCCGCCCACCCCCGAGAGCAGGAAGTCAGTGTGAGATGCTATGTTAGAAACTGAAAGCTGTCACTTTAGGTCCAGGGTTGCAAACTCAAATGCCAAAGAGCCAAGCTGGTCACTGAGTGACTCACACCACGGAGCCTGGCCCCACATAAAAGGGGGCAGCCAGAACTCGGCTGAGCTGACAGTACTGCCCTGAGGAGAGGCAGGCCCACTCCTGTCCAGTCAGATTTTCTTCCCCAAGAGAAACAGGAAATCTGGATTTGTACGTGAAATGGCCCCAGTTTTTCAATGTGGACAACAAATTCAACTTTTTGTTTGTTTGTGCAAGCCAAACATACGTCTTCGGTTTTCCAGTTAGTATTTAAACACAAATATAGGCAATAATGCCCTACAAAGGAGGCCATTCACATGTTGTAACTATGCTTTCTATACCATCAAAACGTCAACAGTTTTCAAATACCTGCAGGAAACTCAGAGGCTGTGAGAACAGGCCCACCCCCTAGGCTGAGAAAAGCTGCTTTAACCTGCAGCAAATGGTGCCCAACTTACCTTGTGAGGATGGAGTGAGGGTGGCAGTGCCCGCTGGGGACCTCAAGTGAGGAGGGATGAGAATGGCGTTGAGAGATGGTTGGATGGAGAGTTCTAGAGACAGGAATGGACA